TTCTATAACTTGTGATTAATTATGAAGGTTTTGGTACTAATCAAAGTTTTAATTTCATGATTAGGATGGTGAAGTTGTAGAATATTCCTTGTTACCTCCTATACCAAAATCACCAATTAATAGCAGACCAAACAGCATGGTGATTAAGGCAAGTTCAATTTCTATGCTAATTTTAACCATAATTTTGTTGTTTTATATTTTAGATGTGGTTGGAATGACTTGTTTTATCTAAAACACTTTATTGGGAGAGTGTAAATTATTTCTGAAAAGATATAGTATTTATTAAAGATTTATAGTAAAATTGGCAAACTTGATGGTTTTTGAAATCCTTGAGTATGAAATATTGATACCAATCTTTTGTTTACGTTGGTTAAAGTAGTGATGTCACGTTGAGAATTGAGATAATTGCGATGGAAAATGATAACCAAACGTGATATAAGTTATATTCTGGAAGACGTTTTTTTTGTATGATATTTAAAAAGAGTTGATAAATGAACAGAAAGCAAATACTCTAATTCCAGCACATTTGGTGGCAGAAGCAATATCAACACTCCATGGGCTTGATTTAAGATGGTCAGGTCCAATTACACCAAGTGAAATGCAATATGTTCAACAATATGTTTTAGCTAAGTACCCTGAATATTGCAATGGACTTGTGGAAGAAGGGGATAAAATCGATCTTTATGCACTTTGTATGAACGAAAAGGGAAAATCCCCGAGGAGAGAGTCTTCATCGCCTTCTTTTGGTACTAGTAATTCAGAGTTGGGAAAAATCCAATTGGAGCCATCAAGATTGCTTGATATCCTAACAAAGAAAACTTCGTACCAAGGGAATTTCATTTCAATCCCAGAAATACAAGTTCGTAATCGAGCATTGCAACAATGTGGACTAAGTGAAGAGGAGTATTTAGTTGTTTTTGCACTTACATTTAAAGAAGCCATGATGATGATTGGAGAATGTTACCCTTTCTTCAGGGGAAATTACTATATGACAATTCTTGGTGAAGAGTATGATTGTATACGCGAATTTGTTACTTTTAAAGATTCAAAAGTGATTGCAGCACCAGAAACATGGCTTGATTTAAGGATCAAAGGATCACAACTAAGTCAATATTTTCGGAGAAGATCAAAGCATAGTCCAAAAGGGCTATTTGCTTATCCTGCTTATGTAGAAGAAACGCGCTATTCAATGCATTGGATCTCAGAAGCTCATAGAAATTCATGGCATGTTCTGTTAGATGCTTCTGGTTTGGATGCAGGAAAAGAAAGATTGGCTTTAGCATTATATCGACCCGATTTCGTGTTGTGTACAGTTGATAATACACATGCTCAGCCCTCTAAAATCACTTGCCTTCTTGTAAGGAAACAGTCCTTCGAAACTGCAGCTTCTTCAGCATGTTAATTTACTCAAGGTTGACAAGTGAGACGCTCAAGTGGTTAAGCGACTCTGTTATCATCCGGTAGGTAAAGGGTTCGAGTAACTATACATGATAAGTGGAAACACTATTGATCGTATGACAGGGTGATGTAGTGTGTGGGAAAAACATAAATGTTTTCTCAAGGTTAGGGAAGAAAGTTATAAAACTTTGTGTATGTATAATTCTCTGTTTACTTCTGTTGGAAAGAGAGACCATTTCTACTAGTTTTCATTTGCTTTGAATATGGTTATACATCATTGAGCTGTTACATTTTCTTGCCTAACTTCAGTGTGGGTGGATGATCTGATTCACGTAAGTTTAATAGAAGTCATAAAAGTATACAATGTTTTATTTACATTACAACTAGTTAAACGTCATAAAAGTATACATTGACTATACACTATAGCTTGGCAAAAGTAAACGGAAGTATACAATGACTATATAATATAATGTACTTATACATGGACTATACACTACGATATACTCCAAAAACTCAATATAGCTTTCTTTGCTTCTTTTTTTAGAAAAAAAAAAGGAAGGAGGGTTGCTCATTGTCACGTAAACTTAAAAAAAAATTCTAGATTCATAAAACTAGAAGCAACCAAACAAAATTTAACCAAGGTCATTTATGAAGTTGCCCTTCTTCACTCGAATCCTAATGTTGGGCTTGCCACATTCTTCAAGATGCATGTAATCCTAGAATGAAGATTTATGGCCTCGATGAAAAAGGTAGTTGTTTCGCGATGTTAAATTATATTCGCAAGCAAATCGTTTGTAGTGTTACATTCTCTGAAGATGTGAATGAAAAAAAAATGACCAACTGAACTCATGCATTGAATTTATTTAATGTCATCTTTGGTGTGCCAAGGGAGGTTAATCATATCTTTAATTGTTTGAATAATCAAAGGGAGTTGGACTCTACATTAACTCTATGAAAATCATGATGTAGACGCCATCTTAGGCTAGTCTTAAGAGATAGAGCCTCGACTGTATTATTTGAGGAATTAATCCATTGATGGTCCCCTAAAGTTGGCATCACGTTAATTTGTTTTATATGAGACAATTTCTACTAGTTTTCATTTGCTTTGAATATGATTATACATCATTGAGATGTTACATTTTCTTGCCTAACTTCTTTGTGGGTGGATAATCTGATCCACATAAGTTCAATAGAACACTATACACAAGTTCACATGGTATATTTATATTACAAATAGTCAAAAAAAGTCATAAAAGTATACATTGACTACACACTATAGCTTGACATAAGTAAACAAAAGTATACAATGACTATACAATATAGTGTATTTATACCTGAACCTACACTATGATATAGTCCAAAAACTCAATATAGCTTTTTTTGCTTTTTTTTTTTCAAAAAAAAAAAGGAGGGTTGCTCATTGTCACATAAGCTCTCAAGAAATTCTAGAATTCATAAAACTAAAAGCAACCAAACAAAATTTAACCAAGGTCATTTATGAAGTTGCACTTCTTCACTCGAATTCTAATGTTGAGCTTGCCAACTACATTCTTCAAGGTGCATATAATCTTAAAATGAAGATTTATGGCTTCAGTGAAAAAAGTAGTTGTTTTTGGAATGTTTAATCATATCCATGAGTAAATTAGTTGTTATTACCTTCTCTGGAGGTGTGAATAAAAGAGAAATGACCAAGTGAACTCATGAATTGAATCTGTTCAATATCATATTTGATTTGCCAAGGGAGGGGGGGGGGGGGATTGATCATACCTTTAATTAATTGTCTGAATAATCAAAAGGGAGTCGGACTCAACATTAAGTCTAGGAAAATCATGATCTAGGCACCATCTTAGGCCCGTCTTTGAGAGCTACAAAATTGTATTATTTGAGCAAAAGCTAAAACAGGCACGGAAAGTCATAATGATTTCCTTCATTACGAACATCCGCGTTCAGTAACTCAATATAGCTTAACTATATATGAATTATACATTCACAATATATACGTGAAGTATATATTGATTATGCAATCACGATTAACTCGAAATCACTTCTAAACAGTTCTTAATTATAGATATAAAATTTTCTTGATACTTTTTTTGATATATAATTTACTTGAAATGGTTCATGTTTACGGTATTGTTAAAATTCTTTTAGAAAAGAAGAAGATGCTTTAGCAAGAAAACACAAAAGAAAAGTGTGAATGGTCATTTTATGATAATATTTTAGGGAACTTTCGCATCTAACCACTAATAGTTTAATTACACTACATAGCGATAGTTTGCTAATCATGATCTGTAGCTACAAGTTATAGGGAGGAGAATGACGAGCGAGATTGGCAGAGGAAGAGATCAGAGGCTAGCGAGATAGAGCAGGGAGTGGAAGAGAAGCGAGCGAGATTGAGAGAGGAAGAGAAGAGGTGAGCGAGATTAGGAGAGGGGGGGGGAGGAAGAGGCGAGAGAGAGCAATAATTTGTATAATTCACATTTCGCTTGTATAATTCACGGGTGAATTTGTATAATTTGCGTTTTTTTTATATATAATTGAGTAAAACAAAATCCGGAACTACACAAATATGAAAAAACTTGAAATAACGAATTGATACAAACATAAACATATGAACTTTAAACAATTATACAAAGTATATCATATAAAATTCGAAACTACACGTTTATATTAACTCTATGAATAAAGATTATGGTGATAAAACTGAAAAATCAAAGAAAATCATCATCATATACAAATACAAACTATTGTGTACAAATCAAGCGAAAAATTATTTATTGCGAATTATACAATATGACGAACCTGATTGATTATATTAACTCGAAGTGATTCAACGTAATTAATAATTAATTAAAATTATGAATGATAATTATAAAAACTATAACTATAATTACTAATTAAATAATATAAATTTACTTAACCACGTAAATTTCTCAAATAGTTTATATAAGAAATATAACGTAACGAATATTGTCTACTTTACCAGTTTCTTATGGGGATAGAGCCATAGTTTCTTATGGGGATAGAGCCATAAAGTTTGACTTGGTATGTGAGGAATTTTTTTATTTTTATATAAATAAAAGAGTATATGGTCCTACCCTTTCTCCACAGCCTTCCTCTTTCTCATTTCTTTATTTATTTTCACTCATTTTTAAATTAAAAAAAATCTTGTCTCTTCTAATTTTTCAGATCAATTTTCTTTAGTCTATGATTTTTATTTACCTAATTCTAGAAACTTAGAGAAAATATTTATCATTTATAGCAATAATTTTTTTATTTAATTATTTTTAATATATTTATAATATAATTTTAATATATATTAAAAAGAACAGTTTATTATTCACATACAATACAAGTTTTATTGATGGATAATACATTTATTACACATTTTATTACATTTATAATTCAATGTGTCAACTTTTTTTACCAAAGAAGCATAATATATTTTTAAAAAATAGTTATAATACATATATATTGCATTTTTTTATACATATTGCAGATTGAACATAGTATTGTTATATATTGCTATAAATAATAATAATAATAAATAAAACGTATCGCTAAAATGGATAATTATTTATTAAAAGGTAAGGAAACAAAAATTATGAAAATGAAATTAGAGAATTTATAAGCAAATAGCAAAAAGCATAAAGTTGAATAATTATTCACTTGGTCAAACTGCTCCCTAGTTTCGTACGTACCAGCAAACTAAATGCATACAACATAATTAATTCCATTAAAACAAAACAAGACGATCAAGCTACAACCAAAAACTTTAAAGGAAATTAAAACCAAAAGTAGGTTTGACAATCAAAATACAAGTAGGTCGGTACGAGCTAAAAAGATTGCAACAGCCACAATTGTTCCGGTGACTGAAAGTTGAGGTCCGTTCTTGTATCCGTCGGAGACGTCTTTGTTAGTATCTGGTGATGAAGATGCGGATGGTGTGGTGGATACAGGCGATTTGCTGGTGGCATTGGTGAAGATGGCATAGTCAGGAGAAGTTGGAGGAATGTTGAGTAGCTCTGCGTTCACCAAAAATATGTAACAAAAAAAATATTTTGTATATTTTATTTAGCATCATAATTAAATTTTTGTTCATGGACCAAAAATATAAATTTTTTTAAAAATATTGTAGGCTAAATATTTTTAATAAACTTGACAAGTAAAATAAAATCAAATGGATAGCTACTTAGCTAGCTAGCCCAAATTGAGACACATATTCAAAAACTCTAGGACATATAGAAGACTTTACGGTTAAAATCATTCAATGAAAATAAATTTTACATAATTAAGTTATATTTATTTATTTTATGAAGTTGGTCAATAAATATCCTCGAATACATTTTACACTTTGATATATAAAAAAGTAAATATTTTTAAATTATGATTTTAATAAAGGATTATTTATATCAATTTTCATCAATGTATTATTAGGACCTGTACTATTGAAAACATTATGAAATGGTCCATAATTGATGTAGTGGCTGAATTTGAGTAGTCAGGTAGATAAAGGTTATTTTCAGGTACACTTGGTCAAATATCTAATGCCTAAATACATTGAACTTAATATCTATATTTAAGTTATGATGCACTGTGTCACTTGTCATTATAACCAAACAGAAAAAAAGAAAGAGTAAACAATATGACTTATCATGTATTGGTATGAACGTGTCATCTTATTTAAGGTTTCATATTCGAGCTTTGGATATAGATAAAATTTGGATTGGAGCGTCAATCTCAAATAGATTCTGTCAAGTGCAATTCGAATTTAGTTGAAGCTTTGTTATGGACTTGAATTTTGAATGGAAAGAAATAAAAAAACAAAGTAACCTTTAAAAGAAACAAAGATTAATTAATTTATTTATTTTTAAAAAAGGAAATAAGAATTTTTGGTCATTTAAAATTAAAAAAAAAAGAAGATAAAATACATTTTTTTCTTCAAATTTTTAGGTATAAATCAAGATCTTTTGTTTTTAAAAAAAAAAGATAATAAATTTTTTTCAGAAAAAAAATAGTCAATTCTCCCCGTCCAAATTGGTCCAGCTGCTTCTTAAATTCGATCACTGTTGAAATAATGAATATCCTTCACTATCGATTAAGGTAGAAAAATTCAAACAGTTGGATTTTGAACAAGTTGATTATAAAGAGAATGAATGCAAAACAATTAGTTTTGTAATTCACAGATGCTACTCTCTGTCCCAACTACTTGTTCATTTAAATTATATAAATTTTGATTTTAATTAAGAGAAAATATATATTTTCATATACTTTCTTACTATTAAATAATCATATACAATATTATTTATTAAATTAGACTTAACACACCTTTTAAAAAAATACTTTTGAAAAATAAGAAATAAAAGAAAACAAATTATTTTTTGTATAAGCATGTGACTCTTAATAAAAAATTGAAAAAGATACTTCCTCCATTTCAAAAATAATAACATCATTTTCTTTTTAGTTTGTTTAAAAAATAATTTCTTTTTTTTTATGGTAAGAACTTTCCACGTGGCGTATTTAAGGCCACAAGATTAAAGAACAATTTTATATATTTGATATAATTTTTATTTAGAACCACATGATCAAAAACCATTTTTATTTTCTTAAACTTCGTGTCAAGTTAAACTAGATCATTCTTTATAAAATGGATAAAATATTAAAAACAATTCTAAACTTAGCGTGTATTTCGTTCGTATTCCAAGTTAAAAAGTAATTCACAGCATGTATACCTTATAAGTCAAATATTGACTATATATAGTATGGCATGACCAAGAACGTACGTGTCACATGAAAATAATTATGTCACATAACTAATTTTTCTCTACACATAACATGCAGCTCATATATTTTTTTCTTATAGTATATAGTATTTTTTTTTTAAAAAAAGAACTTACTAGGACAGTTAGAGATGGTAGCATTAGTGAGTTTGCAAGCAGAAGGAAGCTGAAGCAATTTTTCTTCTTGAATTCCCATACTCTTCAATTGAGGACTTGATCCTTTATGGATCTGTTCTATTATATAACACAAACAAACCGGGTCATGATCTTTGATATCTTCCGCCGCATCGCAACATTCCTTCGATGGCGACGGGGCCTTCCCCGTCGCGTACGTTAAACATGCAGCCACTTTTTGAAACTCCGTACCACACTTATCGCCCAAGCTCTTATCATCATCACCATTAGCTATTACTATTCCAATAGAAACTATTAGTAAAACTACTAACTTATATGCACTTGCCATTTTATTTTTAGGGAAGGAAAGTAAGGTTTTGTGTTGTTGTAATAAAATGTAGTAATATTTATGTATAAATAGGAATAAATGGGGGTGAATGAATAATAAAGATGGGTAGTTGGGAGTGTAATGAATTATAGGCTGGTTGGGTTGTCAGCATGTGAAACGGGATGGTCTTAAATGAAGTAAGCTGCCGTATCTGTATCTGATTCATTTCCCGCAGATTCTGTTGGAAGATTTTCATCCGTTGATTACTACGTGAGGGGACTTTTTCGATACGGTGATAAAGTATATTAAAAAAATAATGCATCATATTTTGTCATATATTTTATTTAATATTATGCTAGATATAATTAATGCATGAAAAATTACGATGTTGGCAATATAAATATATGTATTAGCATGATTAAAGATGTAATTATCTCATGAATTCTTTTCCACTTTCTTTCCACAACTTATGTAATAATAATTTTGTTTGCTTTTTTGTTTTTTTCCTCCAAATTTTCCCCGACAAAAGGTCTACCATTCTTTCATTTAAAAATAAAAAAATATCAATAGGCCTTAACTTACCAATGTTAATGAAGTACCTAACTTCTACTAACTAACAAGCATTATTAAAATAAGAAATAGAAATAACTAAGTATTTTGTAGCTGTTACAGAGTTTGTAATACACTAGATGATGATATTACGAATGAAGATGCTTAAATAATGTAAAAATATGACAATCAAGAAGAAGGTTGCATGATCAGTCTCAAACTTTCTATTACGAAAGTATGAACTTAAAGTATTTTCTTATTGTCTTTCTTCAGACCTGTCCAATAATTTATACTTTTTTTCTGGATTTATTGAATCTTGTTGAACCTATTGATACAATCAAATGGTTATGCTTTTTATGTCGCTTCTGTAGGTGTCTTAAAACAAACTCCTCAATCACTATACCGTCCAAACTATATTGCATTTCATGCGTCTTCTTTTTTCTTTTGTTGCTTCCACTTCTTTGTTACTTAGGTTATAAATTCTCATCTCTGACCACTCTTTTAAAGCATATGTCCTGCTCTTTCTCATCTTCACCAAGAAAATCCTCGCGCAAATCAATTGTATTTGATGCTAATGCTCCTGATTCATTCTTCTTTGTAATTACACATTCAAGCATAAATACAAAAACTTTTGGGCTTAATTTTCTATTCATAGCAGGTAAAACATGCTCTTCTTGGACCAAATGACTATCATTCTCTATTGAACTTACTAGTTGTCAAGATTCACCAAGCGACTCCTAAGATGGGAAAGAGATCTTATGGTTCGATGTACTCAATGTGAACATGAGTGGCTTATCTGCTGGATTAATTTAAGTAGCATGACATCTTAGATTTTATTGAATAACTTAGCTACTCGGGAATTAGATATAATGTTGGAGTCATTATATTACCATCTTTTCCAATAGTACTTAATAAAGTATTAAAGTTATTTGAACATAACATGTCTATTGAATCATTAAAAATGTTTTGTCTCTTCTCACCATCATGACTTTGAGTCGCACCCTTTTTCACTACATGGAGGATAATTTTGACTTGTCGGGGAAAGGGTGTGACCAACTTTTAATTGCATTCTCGTTTTCAACTTGCAAAACATGCTTCTAGAAATTTTCAACATTTTCAATGTCAATTCTATGCATTAATTTTTATCCTGAATAAACCCGTGAAGCATCACCCCAAATTATTCATGTTTCCCCTATGTCACGATTCATTGAATTTGTACTAATGTTGCTCAGAAGTGGGAGAAACCAATTGCTGATCTAAAGTAATAACTGAAATTCAAGATGGAGTGCATTAAAATTTTCTTCAGTCAGCTTCTTGTAATGGCAAATAGACTTACCTCCACGTAGTCGAATAGATAAACTGTAATAATAGTATGCAGTAAGTAAAAACATATAGAGTTTTTATACTGGTTAGAAACAGTGGTGCCTACCTTCAGTCCTCTTGAATTTCAAGGGTTTCCTTTAGAGCTTTGAAGTGAACATCAGATGTACAGCTTCTATAAATTTATCATGTTTGATATGCAAATCAGATGTTCTATCTTGACACTTTCTCTACCGGTAAACCTACACTTAGAATCTTTCTTTCTCTTTTCTTTTCAATTGAAATCACTCAGGTGTTTACAAAAATTTATGAAAGAGAAAAGAAGATTGCACTATAAGCTCAAGTGAAGTTGCGTACTTCACACCTAAGTCTGAGGTCTGAGGGAGGTATATATATGAATAGACTTGTGCTCTTTACTAGTATCTTTAAAGCAGCTTCAATGGTATCGTCAATGTTTTTGTTATTTTAATTTCTTTTCTAGATCAAACGACAAATAATTCCATCATGGCTTTGGTACATACAATAATTGCAATACAAAAGTAGATTATCATATACAACCTCCCGAAAAACTTCGATCAACCTACCAGATTTTCCTATCATAAACTACAATCTTATACAATTTGATAGCTTTTCCATTAGATCATGTATAACCTTGACCTTAGCATGGCTAGGTATTGACTTTATTTGAGTAGCTTTATCTATGACTATTGATTTTCCAAATGTCGATCTATAGATAGCAAAGACTTCTTTGCAAACAATTCAGGAGATTCTTCCTCCTTGTTTTCCTCTTCTTTGTCTTCATCCTCCCTCTCTTCGTCTTCCTCTTTGTATTCCTCTTCTACTACAATTATTTCTTAAGCATTATTTAAACAATCATTAAAAAAATGTAATCTTTCTTTTGTTCAACATCTTCTTCAAGTGAATTGTTGTGTATTAGTATAGTTAATTTCTTTGCATTAGATCAGAATCACTAGAAAAGAAGTCTGGCATGGGTTGGTGATGCTATTAGAAAGATGAATTTAGTAAGAATGAATTTTAGTATTAATGTTAGAAAGATAAATCTTAAAAAGGGATAAAATGTCATTTTATAATTAAATTGTTTTAGTATTAATGTTAGAAAGATAAATTTTAAAAAGGGATAAAATGTCATATTATAGTTAAATTGATATGAATGGAGGGTGCAAGATCGCAAATGGAGGAGTTTTTTGTATGAAGATATTATTTTTGTCTACATAAATAGTATGAACATGAATCTATCTATTAAATATAATGTCACATCTCTAAGCTCCACAACGATTTATCTTTTATATATATTATCCTTTATATATATTTCGCTATTGTATTCTATTTATGAAATTTATTAAATAGTTTATAATCATATTAATTTATCGAGTATAAATTATTATATTAATTATTGAATATATTATTGAAGAATCGAAAAGGTCACTGTTTCAATATTCCGCATTTTCTCTTTCTATATATATATATAGGGGATCTCTTCCGTTAAAATTTTCTTCCGTTTTTGCTCAATGGACAATTGCCAAATGTTTAATTTACATTTTTGAAAATTGAGATCAATTTTAATTATTAATTGAGAGTTGGTAAACCGTCAGAAAAATATAGTCAGAATTTGGTCAAGAAAAACGTATAAAGACTATTAATTTTTTTAGTTTAAAATAAAGAGAAAATATTTAAAGTGTTTGTCATTTTCTAGAAATATAATTTAATTAGAACACAGATTTATAGGTTTAGCATATTAAAAGTTCCATTGACACAATATTTTTCTTTAATTGTAGCATGAACTTGTTATGAAGTAAAGAGAGAAGAAGAAGATGAAGAAGGAGACGGCTTAACAGAAGAGAAGAGAGGATGAACTAAGAAGAAGAAGAGTATACTATAGAGAGAATATCTCAGCTTTTCATTATTTGATTGATTCAACATTAAGATACAATGAAGTGTTTATATAGAAGACTAATCAAGAATCTTTTCAAGTAACTAACTTCTTGAATTGTAACTAACTACTCTATAATTGTAACTAACTAACTAAATTAACTAATTACTTTTAACACTCCCCCTCAAGCTAGGTAGTGTGAAAATGTTACAAGTTCCTAGCTTGGAATTGAGATACAAATGTTGAACTGTATTAAGACCTTTTGTAAGTAAATCAGCCGGTTGATCTTTTGTTGATATGTACCTTGTTGCTACCAATCCTTTGTCTATTTTTTTCTTTATGAAGTGGCAGTCTATTTGAATATGTTTGGTTCTTTCATGATACACTGGATTAGCTGCAATTTGTATAGCAGCTTTGCTGTCTGAGTAAATATCAACAGGTAGTTTCAAGTTTACTCCCAACTCTTTCATCAGACCTATAATCCAAATTAATTCTGAAACTGTGGCAGCCATGCTCCTGTATTCTGCTTCTGCAGAGCTCTTTGAAATGGTTGTTTGTTTCTTTGACTTCCAAGTTAACAGAGAATCTCCAAATTTAACCAAGTAACCTGTCACTGACCTTCTTGTATGAGGACATGAAGCCCAGTCTGAGTCACAGTAGGCTGTAAGAGTTGTATTCTTGTTGCTGGACAGCAGAACTCCTAAACCTGGTTGATTTTTCACATATCTTACAATCCTTAGGGAAGCTTCCATGTGTGATTTCTTTGGTTGTTGAAGAAACTGACTTAAAGTATTGACTCCAAATGCTATATCAGGTCTTGTTACAGTTAGGTATAACAACTTTCCTATCAGCCTTTGGTATGCTCCTTGATCTGCTAATTGATCATTTGAGTTGAACTTTTCTGAATTTCTTAATCTGATGTACTCATCAAGCTGCTTAGTTGTTAACTTAACATTTGTATCCATTGGTGTTGCAGCTGGTTTAGAACTGCTGAGCCCTGTCTCTGATATAATCTCCAAGGTGTATTTTCTTTGATGCATAAGTATACCTTGATCAGACCTGGCAAACTCAATGCCTAAGAAGTATCTTAGTTCTCCAAGATCCTTCATTTTAAACACCTGTTTTAACTTATCTTTTGTTTCTTTCACAATTCTTAGACTATCTCCTGTGACTAATAGATCATCCACATACACAAGAATAATCACTATTCCAGATTCATCTTTTTTTATGAACATAAACTGATCATACTCACTCTGTTTAAACTTAAGCTCCACTAATGCCTTAGACAACTTAGCATTCCACTGTCTAGGGGCTTGTT